CGCTATTTTTTTTCTAATCTCCAAGCAGATCCCTTTCGGTAGCAAGACAGTATCCATTAGCCAGAGAAGGTCGCCGGCCGTACACATGTTTAAAAAGCTAACGACCTTTCCCCCACAACCTCTGCTTGAAGAGTTATTTTGTTTCGTAGGCATATGGACCGGTATCAGAAACACTAATCAAACCAAACTCCTCTTCAGCCTTTTTGTGTTTCTTTATTCTTTCTGTGGCTTTGTTTTAGTGGCTTTTTGTAAGGACATAACTCAGGTAGTGTAAACAGACCCAGGCTGTCAGTACACCGGGTTTAAACATCTTTTATGAAACTGCCATGCATAACTTAGTAATAGATGATGAAAAATGGTTCCAACTGGGCAAAGAGGTACAATACAACATGATAGTCGTATGAATAGCAATTGTATGACGATGCCTTACATATTTTGATGTCTCACATAATGCCTCCCCCACACACAAAAACGCAAATCGAAGAACTATTCCTGACATCAGAGACATACACATATCATTATATTGTACATCTTTGCATCTATAGGTTTTCATGCTCTATAAGCAATTTGTATTTGTCGCTTTCAGTGACATAAGTTAAGGGTATCCCTAACCTTGCTGCCCTTATACTTGTATAGCGGGGACCCCATACTTGCTCCATAAAAATACCTCATTTTGTTTTGGTGATAATGTCACATAATCCCTACTATCAATTTTACAGCGTCGAACCTTATGACTTATGACCACATAACTATAGATAAAAATCCTCATAGGGAGAAAACTTTGTTCTGCTACCACACCTAGGGTAGGGTAACCTTTTCTTTCTCGTGACAAATGACAGTTAGTGGTTTGTGTGATGATAACAACAAATGTGGGTACGCCAAAAAGCAGTTACTCAAGCAACTGGATATGACTTTGAAAACGTCAGACGTTTCAACTAGTATCCACTAGCTTTCGTCAGTGACTGAGAGACCAGAGAGGAAATGCAGGTTTATAAGCACAAACTATTGATTGATATGCAAATCAATCAATAGTTTGTGCTTATAAACCTACATTTCCCCTCTGGTCTCTCATTGATTGATATGCAAATCAATCAATAGTTTGTGCTTATAAACCTAAATTTCCCCTCTGGTCTCTCAGTCACTGACGAAAGCTAGTGGACACTAGTTGAAACGTCCGACGTTTTCAAAATCATATCCAGTTGCTTGAGTAACTGCTTTTTGGCGTATCGTATTACCTGGATGTCTAACCTTCATCGACGTAACACATTTGGGTAGTTTAGGATAGTACAAAACATTCTCCTTTAAATCTGACGTTCCCTTCTCATAGCTAGTTCCTCAAAATGTCTTATAAAGTTTAGATTACAGGAATCTTATAACCCTCTTGATCCTGGAAAATCTTTGCTGTTAATCAAGGTAATCCTGAATTAAAGTAAATCCTACTGTTTGTCTATAATGATCCATAAAACCAATCTGTCTCGATGTGCAATTCATGACTAAGCACTATTAAGCCTTTTTCCAAAACGTCAGAACCTGTTTGCTAAATACATTGTTTATAAAACATAACATTCACTACAGATGGTGGAAGAGCCGATGACAACGACGATCCAGACAACCACGTGTCCAACAACGACGATCCAGACAACCAGCTGTCCAACAACGACGATCCAGACAACTACGTGCCCAACAACGACGATTCCGACATCCACGTGTCCAACAACGACAATCCCGACAACCGCGTGTCCAACAACGACAATCCCGACAACCACGTCTCCAACAACGACGACCCCAACGACCACGTGTTCAACAACGACGACCCCAACGACCATATGCCCAACAACGACGATCCAGACAACCACGTGTACAACAACGACAATCCCGACAACAACGTGTCCAACAACGACGACCCCAACGACCACGTGCCCAACAACGACGATCCAGACAACCACGTGTACAACAACGACAATCCCGACAACCACGTGTACAACAACGACAATCCCGACAACCACGTGTCCAACAACGACGACCCCAACGACCACGTGTACAACAACGACGATCCAGACAACCACGAGTACGACCATGACCCTAGTGTCCGACAGCCTAAAGTCAAAGGTACCGTACGTTTGTTGTGATATTCTCGAAAAAGTTCAGCACTTGTTTTGCTTTGTGGTTAATATTGTACCTGCAGGTACTGAAGTATTATTTTGTGTGGGTTGTTTGTAGGTTTGTGTGTATGTTTGATCAGGCAGAGTACAGATTGACAGAATGTGATTGGGAGGACTGAAGAGTTGGTTGATATCACCTGGGTAGGGAAGAGGTATAGGAGGAATGGCAGAAGAAGAAGAAGGTCTCCCGTGCTCTTGCCCGACCGTGGGTTGGTGCCCATCTCCATTTCGTAACGCCTTGGGCGACACACAGTTGTGCAATGCACTACAGCAGGGGGCTGGTCCGCTGGTAGTGCTGTGTGTTTGACCTTCCCACACTCTTTCTCATATGTGATGAGTGCTAAGCAGAGAAAGATTATAGCCTGGAAATAGAGTAAACATGTAACCGGAGTTAGAGGTTACTGATTTGGTATTAGGGTAATTCAGTAAGCTGAAAATTCCAGTGACCCTCCCACCCTGCACAGTTTCGATCCTCGTTATCATTAACAGTTCACCATACAATTTCTTCCGTTGTTCCAACAAATTCACAAAATCCTAATACATGTGTATGTATATATATATACTCCCGGTAATCTAGAAACCCCGATTTTTTGCTCGTATAGATGACTGGAAAGAGGCAAAAATCTGTTGGTTCGTTCGTGGAGTCGCCATCGCTCTTGCAGTAGCTGCCTTGGTTGGGGCAGGAGTGTCATTTGTCATATTCGCTACTTTATCACTGGAGAGCGATATAGTAACCCAACCGGTAAGTCTATTCCTTGATAATTGAATAGTGGTATCGATATTCAAGCATTCTACAAAGACGAGGACACAAGTTTACTGTCCCTTACATGTTAGAATTTCAAAGAGCCTTGTTGGGAGAACATACCACCTGTGTTCACAGATGAAATGGGATTTCTCAACCATGTTTGTTTTCATGATTTTTTTGTATATTCGGTGCCATACATCTTTGTATTCTATGCTGGACCAGACAAGATATAACAACAGCTGCTGTACAAAGGTGAATATTGACAAGAAGGAAGGACCGGTCGTCTCGCAAACTACGTTCACATGGAAGATCGCATCGTGCAGCGGCACGTCTGCACCCGGGACACGTCTGAACACGAGCGTCTCTCCACCATCGACTGGACCCGAAGTGACCACTGTGCTGTCAGGGGTGACAACTACACCACCAAACGTTAGTCTCTGGCAGTCATTCAGTTGAAAGACATACGTTTGATTCAATACAAGGTAGATTTCTCACCTAGAACTTTTGCAAAGTTCCCCTGGTCTTCCCCAATATACTGACCCAGTAAAACCAGCCACATGTCTTCTTTGAGGTGTGACGTCAACACTGTTATCTGGTAAACGATGTCAGCCCCCGTCGAGTCTAGGTGAGACAAATTTACCTTGTGTTGGATCAAAACGTTCAACTTGAAAATATTTAACTACCGACACAAAAATTTCATGATTAAAACATATACTAGTACTTGTACTAGTACTTGTTGGAAAGAAAATAGTGCTTTCATAAAAATCAGGAGCTGTGACAAAATCAAGGGGTGATCTTGAAAATACGGTTTCTGATTCTGATGTGGATTCATAAATTTTCTGCCTGAGCATCTAGATCTTTAGCAAATGTCCAAGTACTGCTGTAATCCATTGTTAAGGTCAACATTATTCCCATCGATATCATTCCCTTACATGGGTAGGCATTGACATTTCTTATTTTTAGTTTCAAAATAAGACGGTGGGTGCACCCGTTACGACCACGATTATAGCTTATAAGCATAGAATCACGGGCATGATCCATCGCTTGTTATAGGTGTAAGGTAGTACCTCCGTACCTCAAGGTATACCTCCTGTCTATATAAGCGATGATCATACCATCCCAGCCGTGGCTGGCGTGGCGAGCTGCCGTGACGTAACACGCCCAGGATCACGTGAGGAAAAATGGCGGACAAGATGGAGCGCGTTACTACAGACGGCCAACTAGAGAATGTAGCGTAAATTTGCCGGCTACAAAACCAATATCAGATAGTAAAGGACTTATATAGGCATGCCAATAAGTGCATAAGTAAGGGCCTGGAGGACGTGATAACGCATTGCTATCCTCCCGAGAGGATATCGGCCACAGCGCACCACGTGATTGCACCGCGTAACCAGGCACCGACTGGACGCGTTGGTGTTTGCTATACCCAGTATACGCACGCATTTTGGTTAAATTGTCTGAAATCTGCAATTTTTGAGGTGGTGAGGATCGAGCAATTCACCTTCAGAGTGTGGACAGCTATTTGGACAAGTTCTGGGCAGTTTGTTCTCAGGTAAGGATGCCAAAACGTCGTATAAACTTACGTAAACATACGATCGGTGGGGAGGGGTACGGGTCTACAACCGTGGCTTTTTGCTGTTTGGGGGTAGGAAGTTTGTAATTTCTTTCTTCTTGTTGTGTATCGGAGTTCTGGTGGTCCAACGTCAATTTATTTTTTTTAGACCGGAGCCTGTATCAAATATAAAGCCGAGGCGAACCGCCCCCCTCCCCCATGATCGCGACCCACATGGGTTTACGGAAAAACCGATCCAGTCCAACAGGCGAAAAAACCTACCCGGTCTGAGAAAAAGGTCTGCTTGGGGTCTAGGCCTGCTTTTATAGCCCAAATAACCACTATTTAAGAAATTTTATTGTGTTGAGAAAACAGATATGATGTGCAGGTTGGATCCATGTACAAAGAAAGACAAAGAAGAACTGAAAAGGGTACAGAATCAAGCTGCAATATTCTGTATGAACAGAACTATGAAAGAGGTGCTAGTGTCACAGAAATGAAAAGAAACCTACAGTGGGTATCACTGGAAGGCAGAAGAAAAGTGTCCAGACTATGCATGATGTACAAAATGACTAGTTGGTGGATGTCCCAACTACTTTAATAGTACCTAATACCAGCCCAGAAGAGAACAAGAAATAGTCATGCCTTCAAGTAGTACCAGAGTTATCAACCTAGGATTGAGGTGTTCAAGAATTCATTCCTTCCTAGAAGTATCGCAGAGTGGAACTCGCTGTGTCACCTAGTACAGTAGGGGCATTGTCATTAGTTAGCTTTGAACAAAGTCTAGAATTAGATGATCAAGGGTTAGGTGTAACAAGTCGATCGGTGTAATGTAGCCAGCTGCCGCCGTGCCGCGTGCCTGCGAAGCTGGTGTGTTTCGCCGAAGGGCAGTTATACTGGCTATACTGATACAGATTCAGACAGATTATAAGGGGATATGAAAAGGGGATATGGAGGCTAACAGGAGGGGTACTAATTTCGGCCCATGTTCCATTTGCCGTTACACACACACTTTTTGTAATAGTTTGTCTTACCAAAAACCTGCGCAACATGAACTTTAATATTGACAGATAAAGATAACAATGATTAAATCCACACAGGTGTGTATTTTTACCTCAGTGCAGTGCCTTGCACCCAAGTATAGTGGTTTGTGAAATTATATGAAATTTGGGTCATTTTTGCCAGTGGAACATTCTATTGCATCAGGCCTAGGGGCTAGGGGTGCCCTAATTCTGACCTAGCCAAAACACAGGCATATGACTAAAACTATATACAACTGTTTTTCTGCCCCAAAACAAGTTTTTACCATTAGCGACTTGCTTCAAATTGGCTGTTTCAAAATCAAAACTGCATTTTTAACACGTATATATATAAGCAACTGAACAGACTTTTGTGGGATTACAACAAAAAAAGTTTTTTGTGCCAAAACTGTAAATATGAAATTTTAACATCTAGATTGTCATTTTACATACATACATACATACATGTATTAGCATCACCATTTTGCACCAGGCCCACTGTACTTTTAGGCGGCATCTAAAAAGGTTTGTTTTGGTATCTTCGTCAGCTTCCGATGCGTTTTTGTGGCGCAACGATTTGATCTTTTACTCCGTAAATGAACCCAGGTAGGCTTATACTATTATGCTAACAAGTTGTAGCACAAGGAAAATGTGATAAACAATGGCATTTGAAATATATGGAAATCTTACATAATATTGCCTTAAAACCATGGATTGAGTTTGCAAGGCAAATGATTGACTATACTTCCCAAAGAAATATTGGATTTATCCAATTGTTGAATATACCCCCCTCCATGATTTACCTATCTCCTAGAGCCGTGTACCTGTACATATAATTTGTTTAGATACACAGCTCTACTATCTCTATTTTAAACATTTTGAGTACACAACCAAAGGAATGTTCTTGTAGTAAATTTTTAATAGTGATTTTCAGCTTACAGTCTGATTAAAGATCTAACACAATGTACAATCAATTGTAGGGTAGAACATTTGGATTAAATAAACTACCTGAAGTGGCAGGTTTTTCGGCCAGACCTCCACTAGAGTAACTAGATTTGGATACTATTGTTTGACTGGCTGAAAACAATCAGCTTTGTGATTAGGTAGGGGATAAAATTCATAAATGTCACCAAATCCTGCTGAATTTAGCATTAAGCATTGTCCGAAACCCCCATGCAGACCCCTTTGTTTTGACAGGTTTTTCAGACTCCCAGACTGGACAGGTTTTTCACCAACCCGATCCAGATAACTAGCTTTTGTGGGTCAGTCCATTTACAGTAGTAGTTGAATAATT